ACAAGGTCTTAGCACTCTTGTACTGACTAAAGTGTGCACGCTCAGCGGTAGGCAAGTGGCGGCGCACAGCAAGACGGGCAGCAGCGTCGCGTGTGGCCCACTGTGAGCGAACAGTGGCGTCAGCATCAGCAGCAGGGGCAGAAGAGGCACCAGAAGTGAGGTCAAAGAGAGAGAGACCGTCTGCCCTGTCGCACTGTAGGAAAAGCTGCAGGTCATCTACCCAGACGTCAAAGTCAATGGCCCGACCCTCAGCGTCAAAAGCGAGGACACTGGGGGTAGCCATGACAGCAGTAGACTAGCAGCTGGAGCAGTAGGGTAAGGGCAGCGCAGTGGTAGAGGTGCCGCTCTTACCGGACAGGGTGGCTCGGGCGGCTCGGCAGCTCGGCGGCTCGGCAGCAACTTCAGCTCGGCGGCTCGGCGACTCGGCGGCTCGGGCGGCTCGGGCGGCTCGGCGGCACGGCGGCTCGGCAGCAACTGGAGCTCGGCGGCTCGGCGACTCGGCGGCTCGGTCGGCTCAGGAGCGGCTCGGGCGGCTCGGGTGGCTCGGGCGGCTCGGCAGCAGCGGCGGCTCGGTAGATCGGCGGCTCAGCGGCGCCGGCGGCTCGGTGGTGACGGCGGGGCCGCGTGGGGACGGCGGCGGGGCCGGGTGGGGCGGCGACGAGGCCGCTGAGGGCGGCGGCGGGGCCACGAAGGGTGGCGACCGGCGCCTTAAGGGTGGGGCCGCGGGGTCGCAAGGGTGGGGCGACGGGGCCAGCAGAGGCGGCGCCGGGGCCGGGAAGGGCGGCGCCGGGGCCGGGAAGGGCGGCGCCGGGGCCGGGAAGGGTGGCGCCGGGGCCGCAAGGGTAGGCGACGGGGCCGCGAGGGCGGCGTGGAGGGGTCGCGAGGGCGGCTCGAGGAGGCCGCGAGGGCGGCGCGAAAGGGCCGCGAGGGCGGCGCGAAAGGGCCGCGAGGGCGGCGCGACGCGACGGGACCGCGAGGGCGGCGCGACGGGGTCGCAAGGGCGACGCGACGGGGCCGCTAGGGAGGCGCGACGCGACGGGGCCGCTGAGGCGGCGCGACGGGGTCGTAAGGGCGGCGCGACGGGGCCGTGAGAGGGGAGCGCGACTCGGGCAGAGGCTGAGCGCGCTCCGGGCAGGAAAAAAAGTTGGTGGGCCCTAGGAACAGTTCCCACAGGGGAACCTGCTCTATACCATGTGAAAATGAACGAGGAATGAAAAGACTAAGGGAAAGTTGGGTACAAGTACAAACCCTAGAAAGCTGTACCCCATATGTGCTACCCCATTATAGCCTACAGCAGCTAAGTCATATAAATCTGACAACAATTTGCGCATGGTATTCTGGAGAGTTATGTTCATCCGCCACGCCTTGCTGTTGATGGGCGTAGGGAAGTGAGATGAGGCGCTTGATGCCTCGTTCTGCGAGGTACTGCCTGAACCTCTGGGACTGATATTCCCCTCCTCCGTCAGACTGGAAGCTTTTCAGCTTTGTTCCTGATTCTCGTTCTGCCACAGGTAGCCAGGCGACGAAGGCTTCGAAGGCCATGTCGCGACTTGGGAGATTAAGGTGCCAGACGTAACGGGTGGCGGCGTCGATGAAAGTAATCACGTAATTATATGCTCCTTGTCCTTGTTCGCGAGTATACAGGATGTCGCTGTATACTTTCTCGAGTGGTGCATAGGCTGGCGCGCTTGGATTGTGGTGAGAGGTGAACGGTTGATGTGGTAAGTCGGCTTCGGGATAGGTAAAGCATGTTCCACGGACTCGTTGGAGTTCTCTGCCGTCGGGTAGAAGGAGTGAATCTTTGTCGAGTACTGCTGCCTTGATTGTATTATTTAACGTGGTGTTGCTGGGGTGACCCAGTCGTTTGTGCCACAGGGATTCGCTTGCTCGATGTCCGGGTGAGCGCCTGTACAGGTCGGAGTTGGAGTAAAAGACGGCGGTGAAGTTGGCGCTTCTGTGAACTTCTCGTGGAGTGGGAGTTAACTGCTGCGCAGGAGTCGGTGGAGTGTCGTCGATGAAGGTTGGTGTCATTGAAGAGCTCGCGATTGGTGCTGTGAGTGTTGCTGTTGTTGCCGATGTTGTCTCTGCTGCCGTCGATGTTGTTTCTTCTTGCCGAATTGTTGCTAATGCCCGTGTTCTTTTTGCTTCAGGTATGGTATGTGAATTCCAGAATCCTCCAGGGCTGAAGTCGGGATCGAGGTCCGGTGGGTGCGTCCAAGAGGCGAAGTTGACGATGGCGTCGCTATCGGCGGTTCCTTGATCTGGTACAAAATCGAGGACGAAGACGTTGTTCTTCAAGACTGCTCTGCCGATGTAGAGTCCTCATTTGCCGTGGAATAGCTTGAACTCCTGAGTGGTGCTGTTTGCTTCAAGATGAATACCCTTCGCCATCAGTTGGCTGACGCTCAGTAAGTTGTAGCCGAGTCCTTCTGCAATCAGGACTTTAGACATTTGTAGGATGATGTTGGTTTCTCGGGACTGAAGTTGTACTACTCCTTGTCGTCGTGTGTGCAGGTTCTGGTTGTTGGCCACAGTGATGACGACTTCGCGCTGAAGTTGATGTTCTTGTTGAACGAAACGACTTGAAGAGCACATATGTTGTCCACAGCAACTGTCCAAGAACCAAGTGTCTTGCCCAGACGGTTCGCTTTGGGCGATAGCTGCATACGTCGGATTGGGCTCTAGTGATTCGCGGCGGGGAGTCCTTTCATCGAGTTGGTCTTCTGGTGAGTAGTGGGGTGGTGATCCGGTGATGCAGGAGTCCGTCGTTTTTGTCATGCAGCTAACGATGTTTCTTGTTCCTTGTGCAGATTACGATGTTGAAGATGTTGAAGACTGCACTTGACTGGTGGGATGCGCCTGCGTAGAGGCTACTTGACTGCTTGAAGGCCGAAGTTGACGTTGCGGTGTTGTCGACTGCTGCTGATTTGGGCAGTGTGTGCGCGGATTACCGGACGTCTTGCAAAGATGACAAAACGGTGGGACGTACTGTTGTACTTGTCGGTTGTTGTGTCGGTTGTTGTTGTTGTTGTAGCGTCGTTGAGTATGAAAGGCGAATTCCGGTGCTAACGCTTTCTTCTTATGTCGTTCTTCGTGCAGGTCCATATCCTGCTGTTCGGCGGGAATTTTGGCGCAGAGTGCTGCTTCGGAGATCTTCCCGTGAGCTCGAAGGAGTGCTCGAGTGGAGCGCCAATGAGGACCAAGACCGGCGATGATGATTGTTATAAATGCTTCTTCCGAAATTGTCCCTCTGCATCGAAGGAGTCTGACGCGCAGTCCGCGACAACTGCTAATATAAGCCATTCCCTTTTCGCCGGGTTTCATTTCCACTGTTGTCAACTGTGCCATGAGACGACTCTGGTTAACGCTGTCTGTTGCTTGATACAGGCTTTTCCGATGGTCGTATGCCAGCTCGGCGGAGTTGCCGTATCCTCGATAAGACCGGATGTTCTGTTGCTCGTTTGGCGTTAAGTTTCGAAGAAGTATCGTATACGCCATCAGCGACTGATACGTATATTGCTGCTTGTTGTACTGTGTCCCGTGTGCCGGATATGGCAGGGACCCGTCGAAGAATCCGAGGATTCGCGCGCCCTCCATCATCAGCTCAAATTCGAATGACCAGGTATAAAAATCTTTCCTGTCGAAGAGTGTTGATGTTTGCAATTTTAGGACGTGTGCGAATTGCGATTGCACCTGAAGCGCATCCAGTGTCTTCTCTTGTCCAGGTGAAGACTGCGGCTGCGGCGCGAAACTGACGGAGCCGCGTTGAGGCTCATACGGGGCAAAGGTAGGTTGTTGTTGATTTCCGCGCGCATAGGATGAACCGTCGAGGCTCATCGGAGTTGCTCTGTTGTTGTTGTCGCTGTTGTTTGCGCATGAGCTGCTTGCCGGTGTTGCTCGTAGAAGGACATGAAGGAGAAAAACTTCTCCATCATGTTTGGGTCGAAGCCTGCTTGTTGGTTCCCGGGAGTTTCCGTTGACTCTGCAGCTGGTCTTGTACCTTCTTCTGTCTGTAGGCCGGAGACTGGAGGTGGAGTAGGGGTGGTGCTGAGAGATCCGTTGGAGGAGCTCCTCTCCTTTTGTGTAGCCATGACTTGTGTTGTAAAAAGTTTGAAAAGAAGGTGATCTTGTCCTGCCTGCTCTCATACCATGTTGGGCTGAGAAAAGCCCTTATGATCTTTCAGGACTAAGATCAGGTGTTAACGTAGAGATGTAATTGCGGAAGCGTTAATAAAAGTTTGCCTTGAACCACCTTGTACTGGTGTGTGAGAACAAGATAAGTTGAATAAAAGAGATACAGGCCCTTCATATGATTACAAGGAATATGAAAAGTTATACTTTAACTGTTTTGCTGTTGCGGTTCGATACAGTGCCGACTCGGGTAACTGCTCAGTAACGAGTCAGTTATGTGTCCTTACTGTCGCACTGTACGTTTTGTCAAGTCAAAGGTCGGAGACCTTTGACCTTCGCGTAACCTCCGACGGTTGCCTTGGTTGACTCGAGTGCTTCTTCGCTGTAGTCAGTTCCGTTTCGTGTCGAAGCTTCGACACGACAGAAGCGTTTAAATTACTTGTTTGCAACAAAAAAAGGCTGAAAATCAGTCAAATCATGGTAACAAGCAGGGCCTCAGAAGTCAGCGAAAAAAGGCTGATTTAGGTAAAAAAGGCTGAGATTTCAGACCTTTCTTAGAGCTGAGGCTGATTTTTCAGCGATTTGTTGAAATGAAACAGGAAATGTTAATAGATTTTTAGTGAAAAATGGCATAAAATGGCTGATTTCTCTGATTTTCAGCAAAACGCTTTGTACCAACTCTGATTTTTCAGTCTAGGCCAAAACGAATCTAAGGCCCTGGTAACAAGCCTGATATCTGAGGTGATTCAATTAATCCACTATTACGCTTCCGCTAAATACATCATCACTCTGAGAGTTTAGTATTGAAACAATCCTAAGACCTTTTCAGCCCAACATCCTTAACATTATTATAGACCTAGATCTACATCTCACACGGCCGACGCAGCACTGAGCAAAGCATTGTTGGCATCCTGGTTCAGGGCCCAAAAGAACCACCCCCCAAAGCTTTGTGCCTTGGCATAATTAACCTTGGTGGTGATGGTAGATGGGTTGTCGTAACCAACCCACTGGTTCCCCTTCACCGCGTACATGGACGACGATGGAGTATGAAGTGTAGCTTTGTAACCACCAGTTGCTACCATTTGAGAAATCTCCCTGTAGAAAAGGACACCAGCCTCCTGACTCACAGACCCAGCCAGGCCAGGCCCGGTGGCCGCAGCTCCGACCCCAGTGCTGCTTGTAGAGGCTAGGGTCCAGGTTCGGCCGTACATCGCCAAGCCTAGCATGGCCTTGCTTCCGTCCAAGCCTCGGGACACCCAGGCAGCCATGGCACCCTTGAGGCTCAGCTGCGGGTTGCTCAGATCCTCCAGAGCAGTGTGCATGCCGGTCTTTGCCTCCCACGACCCATGCAGATCGTAAGTCATTATGTTAACTAAGTCCAGTGTTTTGTTAAGCGTCGGGACGTCGTAGGCCTGAGTAACAGTAGGCTCATAGGCTGAAACCGCCGCTGACAGAAGCAGCTTCGGCCGCCCCGAACTGGCCGCCTCGGATTCGATCGCCGCCCGGAAATCCGTGAGCAGGGCAGAAAAAAGCGCCGTCTGCCCGGTCGGGTACTCCCAGTCAATATCCAGACAATCGAAATTGTACGACCGGGCAAAATGGATCGCGGATTGGATGAAGGCGGAGCGGGAGGAGGCGGAGGAGGCGGCGTTGGTGAATGTGGTGGTGCCTGCGGAATAGCCCCCGATGGAGAGGAGCGACTTGATGGCGGGGTTGGCGGTTTTCAGAGCGGAGTTGAAGCGCAGGTAGAGACCCTGGGTGACGTCCACTGCTGGGTTGGATGGGACGACCTGTGAGGGGAGAGAAGGGAAACAGAGGGAGAATGAGCGAGGGGATATTGGAGTTGGCGGAATAGCCCCCGATGGAGAGGAGCGACTTGATGGCGGGGTTGAAGCGCAGATAGAGGCACTGGGTGATGTCCACTGCTGGGCTGGAGGGGCCGACTTGTGAGGGTAGATAGATAAACAGAACGGGATAAAGAATCTTAGCATGGGATACCTGTGATACCGTACCTGGTATGTGGTGGCGTCAATGAGTGCAAAGGCGTAGAAGACATGCGTTAGGCTGGCAGAAGGGATGAGGGATGGGTCCATGCCCGCCCAGTTGACAAAGTATGCCATGCGCTTCAGCCCAGACGAGGGCGGAGGAGGAGAGGCCGTGGAGGGAGGAGGCGGGGAGGGGGACGCGGATGGAGAAGGCGGGGAGGGAGATGTAGAGGGAGAAGGCGGAGGAGGGGAGGAGGGGGAGGAAGAAGGAGGGGGAGGGGAGGAGGAGGAAGAGGAGGGCCAGCATTGGGACTGGCAGCCAGGGCCGCAGTAGTCAAGGGTGGAGCCACACCAGCCGTGGATGCTGCAGCACAGGCCGTTGGGACAGACGCTGTTGCCGTTCTGTGCGCCGCACTCTGGTGAAATGCAGGTAGAGAGGAGTGGGGTGGGGTGGAGAGGGGTGGAGAGGGGTGGAGAGGGGTGGAGAGGGGTAGAGAGAATTGGGGGGTTGAGTGGGGAAGGAACCAGCCGGAGCCGCAGTAATCGAGGGTGGAGCCACACCAGCCGTGGATGCTGCAGCAGAGACCGTTCGGACAGATGCTGTTGCCGTTCTGCGCTCCGCATTCTGGGGAAGGTAGAATCCGGGGGTGGGGGGAGGGGTGGGGAGGGATGGGAAAGGGTGGGAAGGGGTGGGGAGAGGTGGGTGGAGGTGTAAGTGAGAGCATAGATAGAGAAGGAAAACACCAAGCAGCCGTGGATGCTGATGTTGATGCTGCAGAACAGGCCGTTGGAGGCAGATGCTGTTGCGGCTCTGACTACGAGCGCAGCACTCTAGCAAGCTGCAGAGAGCCTAGTAGGCGAGGTGGGTGAAATTCAGGTAGGGGAGATGGGTGGGGAGGGGTGGGTACGGAAGCTGCAGAGAGCCAGGCACAGTGTAAGACGGCACAGTCGAAGTGGAACAAAGAGAGGAGTCTATTTCTAGAGGCCCTAAATAATGGTTGGTCGTGGGGACACTGGTAAACGCAACTGGAGTGAAGAGTAAAACAGCACATGCAAAGTGGAACATGAAACGATCGCCTCCGCACCCATCATTTGCGAGACAACATGAAAGAAATACGTTACAGTTCCACTTAGTACACTCTGAAATAATCCGGAGTTACATCACTGTGGAATGCAATGGAACACTCACGGCCATTGGTGGACACAGGGGGGGACCCGGTGGTTGGCGGAGGCGGGGAGCTCGTGGGCGGAGGGGGAGAGCTGGTTAGCGGAGGCGGAGAGCTTTTGGGGGGAGGCGGAGAGGGGGAGGCGGAAGGGGCTCCACTGCAGGGCCCGGATAGGCAGCCAGAGCCGCAGTAATCGACGGTGGAGCCGCACCAGCCCCACTTGCTGCGAGAAAATGAACGGCGAGAGATGCAAGAGGGGAGAGGCGAGCGGGGGAGGGAAAGGGAGGGAGGAAGGGGGGGGGAGGGGGGGAATGCTTAGAATCGAAGGCTCGGGATCGAAAGAGGCTCGAAGACGGAGAAACTCAAGATTCTCCGAGTCCGACTAGGTATATGCAAGGTCAACTCACGAGCATGGGACGCATAGGGACTGCACCTGCAGCAGAGGTTGTTGGCGCAGAGAATCGTCGCAGAGCACTGCTGTGCGACGACTGGGCGATTGACATGCGACGATGAGAGAAGGAGGGAGAGCAGAAGCGGCAGGAAGAGCGGAGGAAGCTTCATCATGCTGGCGCGGCGACTCGTCAACATCGGAGGCTCCGGCGAGTGGCCCTCGCGGCGTCGAGCGAAATTAGGCGATATTGTCGTTGGTGTGTGACAAGCGGCGACTTTTGAGGCGCCTGAAGTAGACTGCACTAACGTCGACGTCGTGGAGGTATTATTAATCGCTACGCAGACGAGTGCACTCGAATCTCGTGAGACAAAGAGAGATGACTAATGATGAGTCGGCTCACGCAAACGTGAGCGGAGAATCGACCGAGAGCACTCGACGTTGCAAGTAAGGGCCCGTTTCACAGGTTTGTATTCGCACAGTACTACTAGGGCGGTCTATATGCCAAAAAATGCCTGTTGGTTGGACAATTTACCTACACTGGTTTGATACTGGTTGCACAGTACTAGGGCCAGTCTATATGCTCAGATAGTGCGGTACGGACAAAGGAAGTGCCGAGGGGAATCTGAGGAAGGTTTGGCTTGTAGTTTTAGGTCGTAACGACAATGTTTAGATTCCCTTAGGAAAGGAAGTGCATCGCGCTGACAATGACACCTGTCCGTGCCAACACTAACAAGCATCCATGGCTTCTGCCCTCTTCCTTTCATTCACTCGGGTGCAACAAAACGATGACCAGGCTTGAACACTCAGAATGGGGCTGCAATGCAACCAAACAAAACGCAGCCGTAACTGCCGCTCGCAGCATTGGCCAACCATGAAGAATGCTGCTTGGTTTGGAATCTGGAATGGTCCGAATAGCTGCAGAGAGAAGCTGCCTGCTGGGTGCGAGCCGTAACTGCCGCTCAGAAGAACCCTCCCTCCCCTGTCTCCAAGGTACGTACGGACGGACATGGCTGGATAAAAACGAAGAGCATCACTGCTGTACGGTGAAGTGCGCTTCATACGATTCTAGACGATGATACTACGTATCAGAACGGTTTGGTAGGGTTCATAGCCAGAAGTCAACTACCTGTCACATTCCGTTGTCCGCTCCATCGGACAACCATGAAGCACCGCTCTGTAACGCTTTTGAAGCTCTCGTATCCGCCCAAGACCGCGGTGTTCTGTCAGGTCAGGTCGTTTCAACGTTGGCTACGCTCCAAAACCTTGGGCACTGCTCCTGCCTCAAAATCGTTACTGTGGATGTCCGTTGGTAACGGCGTGTTTTCATTGAATCGTCGACTTTCCGTCTTGCGGGGAGCCCACCCCACCTTTCCAGTTTCAACCTGGAAGTAAATATAAATCAATTCCGCCGTCTACTGATTTCTAAACGTTAATATTTGTAGGTTGATATAATATCATTACATAACATTCATGCTTTAGACAGCTAAGGAAAGGAAAAAAAAAAAAAAAAAAAAAAAAAAAACAGGGGATAAATGTTCGCGCCAAGATGGGACCGTACTGCACGTTGCAATGCAGCCACTGCCAAACATTGCAACAAAAACCTTGCAACTCCTAGCCATCATTTTTCTGCTCCCAAATGTCAGCTTCAATTGCCACCATAACCAAACCTCTGTAAACCATGCATCATGACATACACTCACACGTTACGTGGACCTTCAAAGCATACGCTTTTGCCATTCATACCACACAGGCATGCACACTTGCCACAAACCCACACACAACTCGTACACTTCAACTGCAGCAGTTACATCCCGCAACAATACATTCCCTGTTCCACCGTTCTTCTCTCTCACTCACATACAGCCCAACAAATTCCACGGTCCTTCTCCTCAATCCCTGTGCTGCTGCTCTGCTTCCAGTCCTGTTGATGCTGTTGCTCCTGCTGCTGCCTCGACTTTTTCTGCTTATACTACAGCTGCTGCTGCTACAGTCGGATCCAAAAGCCCATTTTGCCTCTCCAAACCTAGTCTGCTCCAACCCCCTACCTCCGCCTGCTGCTGCCTCTGCCGCTCTCTCCCCGCCTCAGCCTCCCCTCCCCAGACTCCCCATCCCTCATGTTGAAAACAACCATCTTAAACCTTTCAAGTAAACTCAGTAGTCACCTCGTCTCTCCCTGCCTGACTCACTCCCGCCTGGACTCACCATGCCTCGTCCCAAGGAACCTCTACTCTGATACTCCCCTTCCCCTCCCCCTCCGCCTCCTCCTCCCCCTCCGCCTCCCCCACTACTACTGCTTCCCCTCGGCGTCCCCCTTTGCCTCGGGCTCTCTCCCTCTACCCCTCCACCACTCCCCCTGCTGCCAGCCCTCCCAGGACTTTCACGATACCCTCTCCCTCCCTTTTCCCCCCTCTGCTGCCCCCCCTGGTGCTGCCGCCCCCTCTCCTCCCCCTCTCGCTCCCTTCCTCGCTCTCTCTCCCTCTCCCCTCTTGACCGATGCTGCTGCTGATGCTGGTGAACACTCCCCCCGGAACCCCCCTGTCGGTGCTGGTGCTGGTGCTGCTGTTGTGGCGATGCGCGGGGGGACTGCAGGTTGCGCACGCGGGGCGAGCGAGACCCCTTCTTCTCATGAAGGGGCGTCGTGCCTGGCGTGTATCTGCCAGGCGTGCTGCAGTGGGCAGATTAAGGGGGGGGAGGAGAGGGAAAGGGGGCGGAAGGGGGAAGAGGGAAGTGGGAGGGAGAGGGAATGAGAGAGGGAGAGGCAACAGGCGGGTGCTACCCCCGGAGTCCCCCTGTCGGTGCTGGTGCTGCTGCTGCTGCTGTTGGGGCGATGCGCGGGGGGACTGCAGGTTGCGCACGCGGGGCGAGCGAGACCCCTTCTTCTCATGAAGGGGCGTCGTGCCTGGTGTGTATCTGCCAGGCATGCTGCAGTAAGAGAAATTTAAGGGAATGGAGGGAGGGGGGGTTGAAAGGAAAGTGAGGGAGGCGGGGATAACAAGCAAGTTAACGACAATTCTCCTGAAGGGGTGTGGAGCCTGGCGTGCATCTCCCAGGCGTGCTGCAGAGAACCTTGAAGGGGGGATGGAGGTGTGGGTGGGAATGGGGACGAAAGGAAGGGGAGGGAAAGAGAAGTGAGAGGGGCGAGGGATAACAGGCGAATTAACAACTCCCCTGGTTTGAACCTCGCTAGAAAGCCTTACCAAGGTGTGGGTTGTTGCTGGGGTCGTAAAGGCTGCGATGACAGGTAGTTGAGTGTGGTAACCACATTGTGGATCATGGGGCGCTGGCTGGCCTGCCCCTACTACGAGTGAAATCCCCCCAAAAGCAACAGGGAAACCCCTGGGGCCGAGGTCTCACCTGGGTTGCGGGTTGTTATTTGGGTCGTAGGGCTGTGACGACAGGTAGTTGAGCGCGGTAACCACATCGTGGATCATGGGTCGCTGGCTGGCCTGCTCCTGCAGGCACATGGCAGCAACAGCCAGCGCCTGGTACAGCCCGCGCATGGGGTAGCGGCCCTGCAGCAAGGGGTCCGCCATGGCTGGGAACTTCCTCCTGTCCTTGAAGAGTGGCCGCGCCTGTGAGGGGAGGGAGGGGGAGAGTGCTTTTGAGCATGGAGTTGGGGGAACAGAGAGGGAAAGGAACCACCCTGACGCTGTGAGGGGAACGGCAGGAAACACCCACACAAGAATAACAGGACGAACTCATTTGAGAGCAACAGGAGAAAAACACGCAACCAATAGCTACAAAAGCCGCCACCCACCCAAGCAACGAGGTTGTGCTCTCCATGCGGCCTCGAGCTGTCAATCGCCTTGCGCCCCGTGATCAGCTCCAGCAGCACCACTCCGAAACTATACACATCGCTCTTCACCGTGAGCTGCCCCGTCATGGCATACTCGGGCGCGCAGTACCCATACGTGCCCATCACGCGCGTCGACACGTGCGTCTTATCCCCCACAGGCCCCAGCTTCGCCAGCCCGAAATCCGAGAGCTTGGGGTGCCAGTTCTCGTCGAGGAGTATGTTGGAGGATTTAAAATCGCGGTAGATGACAGGTGGGGAGGCCTCCTCGTGCAGGTACTCGAGGCCCTTGGCCGCCCCTGCTGCCACTCTCATGCGCTTGCTCCACTCCAGACTCGCCCTGCCCTCGGGTAGGTCTGGGGAGGGTGGAGGGGGAATGGCGGAGGGAGGGCGAGGGAAGGGGGATGGGGAGGGAGAGGGAACGGGAGGGGGAAACGGGAGGGGGAAACGGGAGGGGGAAACGGGAGGGTGAAAAACAGGGGAGGGGACAGCATAATGAGCAGGAGGAGGGAGGAAGGGGTGCCAGTTCTCGTCGAGGAGGATGTTGGAGGACTTGAAATCGCGGTAGATGACGGGCGGAGAGGCCTCCTCGTGCAGGTACTCGAGGCCCTAGGCCACCCCTGCTGCCACTCTCATGCGCTTGCTCCACTCCAGACTCGCCCTGCCCTCGGGTAGGTCTGGGGGAGCAGGATGGGGGCAGGGGGAGGGGAGAGGGAGAGGGAAAGAGGGCAGAGGCGGGGGAGGAAGGGGGGGAGGAGCCCGGGGGAGGAGGAGGCGGGGGAGGAGGCGGAGGTGGACGAGCGAGTCAGGTGGGGCAGGTCACATGCGTAGCGATCATGCACTGCCTACCACCATGCACAAAATGACACTCCTCCCGTTCCTCACACCTCTTGCTCCTCACTCCACTCTGCTCCTCACTCCTCTCGTTCCTCTTGCTTCTTGCTTCCTCACTCCTCCCCTAACCACACCGTCAGCACTGCTCTCTCTCCCGCTCTGCCGCCCTCACCATGCAGATGGTCCTCAAGAGCGCCACGTGGCATGAATTCATACACCAGCAGCCGTTGATCGCCGTCCGCGCAGTAGCCAATGAGATTCACGAGATTCGGATGGTGCAGCAGGCTGAGCATGAGCACCTCGACCAAGAATTCCCTGTTGCCCTGCACGCCGTTTCTATCCAGCTGCTTCACCGCTACCACCTGTTCAGCCAATGCAGACAAGCATTCACATGCATGGCAGGGGGCAAGAAAAGAACATGAGCATGAGAATGGTGGTGAATGCTTGTGAACAGACGCAGCAGGATGAGCATGAGCACCTCGACCACATATTCCCTGTTGCCCTGCACGCCGTTCCTATCCAGCTGCTTCGCCGCTACCACCTGTTTGGGTAACAAAAAGGAGCATTTACAGGTTATGGCAGGGACCAGAAAGAATAAGGTCCGGATGGTGCAGCAGGCTGAGCATGAGCACGTTGACTAGGAACTCCCAATCGCCCCACATGCCGTTCCCATCTGTCCCGCGCATTACGCTCAGCCGTTGACCACAAGCCGTCCATGTTTGGAACCAGCTCACTGCTGTGACTTGCCTCAAGGATCGGAGATCCCCACCTGTTCAAGAGACTCGTGCCGCACTCTGTACCCGTGTCCGGCCCCCCTTATAAGCTGTCTCACAAAAGAGTCGTTTCAATCAAATACAAACCACCTCCCCTCCCGTCCACTCCAGACAGCCGTTGTACACGCGCCCAGCCCCGTTTCAAGCTATCTCACTCCTGTGCGACGTTCCACATATCCACAAATACCCACCTGGCCTGTAGACTCCAGCCACCCTTTGTACACGCGACCAAACCCGCCCTCGCCTATAAAATTCTTCTCGGAGAACCCGCCTGTCGCTCGCTCCAGCTCTCGAAACGTGAACGTCTGAGCCGCAATCCGCGCTCCTGTGGGCCCCGGCGACGGCGCTGGCACTGCTGCCATTTCGCCCTGCGGTGGCCGCTCCTGCGCGGGAACAGCTGGCGATCCGTGTAACCCTGGTGGACCTCCTGGTGGTAACCCGGTAACCTGTGTCGGTGGATTTGACCGTTGAGAATCTGCTGTTGGTCCATCGTCTCCTGATAACAATTGATCTGCAAGTGCCGCGGTTGGGGATTTGTCGGATCTACTAGGTTCTGAAATGCCGCTTTGGGCTTTAATCTTCGGGCTTTGCGCTAGCAATGGTCCATTATCTGCAAACAATCGAGTCAGCAGACGGGGGAAAACAGCGGCAAATGAAGCACCATGGAAAAAGAACATACACAGTATATTCACTGTGGATTTGCCGATAGAGCAACGACGGAAACATTGGGAAAAGTCGACGTGTGTGACTGAAGCAGCTCAGGGATTCTATAGAGAATCGTCAACGGTTCCACCAAATTTGAGGCATTCGAGCCGCCTGATCTTAGCCTAATCTGGATTATCATCTAAGCTCTACTTGCGAAGTGCGACTCTTGTGACTCTTCTTTCCAGCCACATCCACCGAATTCTGGCAAAATGATATTGCAAATGCATCGTCAGTCAGCCTCAAAACTTCTGAGCGCCTTAAACAGCAGCTAGCCTTAGATTTAACAAGATGTTCTCCAGAATTCGGCCGAACTAATCATCCATGACTATATCTAGTACGACTACGTGGAGCGTGGAATTTACCACAGAAAACTATAAAAGACACCACGCGCGTGTAGAGGTACCTGATAAATCGTCCGGTGCAACTTTCGGCGCGGGAACGGCCTCCTCTGATGCATCTCTCCGTCGAGGAGGAGACGTATCGTCCTGAGGTTTCGATCCCGCACAGCCCATAAGACCAGCCTATATTGCCCGTACCGCTTAACGAACCCGTTGAGTTGGATAAGAACACATGCCAGCTGCAGGCAAAATTGTATCACCTACTCAGCATCAGCTCAGACGAAGACAAGAGAGCCACGCGCCTTTCGCTCGAAATACAAAGCTACTATGACTAATTCTTGTGTACTTCAAGACACCACGTGAAACTAATAACACTACCACCAGGAAACCTGTGTCAGACGTCTTTAAGAGCAGCTTTCTGACATTCACGAAACTCCCTGATACGCTATGGCTTCCTAGACCTGATCTAGGGTTAGCAGATAAAAGCAGCAGAAGCAGCCAGAGGATGGTCACAGAACAGGCCAGACAACAAGAAAGTTCAGGGTGGAAAGATGAAGAGGAAGGGCTTCCTTTTGCTGGGTGACATTGTTTAACCGCTGTTAAGTAGCAATGAACCGTTAAAGAACCTACAACATCTCAGCCAACCGCATCAACACACAACGTCCAAGTGGGGTATATTGGAATGAAGGGATGGATAAATCAGGAGAAAGATGCAGTAGGGTTGAATACGGTCAATTGCAGCCCACTCTGTTTTACAGTGCACTTCACTCGTGCTTGAGGTGGCTGCCTAATTCGAGAAAGTGTTCCTTTCCTTCCCACCCGACGATGACTGACGGACAAGCAAGTCGCTGAATCCAGCTTTCGTTTGAAGCTCGTTTCCGTTCAGTCGAAGAAATTGTACAGTACAATCACTGTGCGACGGGTGCTGCTGCAGTGGTGCTGACTGAAGGCATATTCGTTCGAATCGCATCGCATCGCTGATCCGCGTCGCACATAAACAAAACCACTCTGACCAGCAGTTGCTAGCTTGTGTTCCGCAACTCCGTTCCGTTCTGCTTCGTGCCCTCGAAAGAGCTGCATCTAGACTAAGGGCGTGTCCAGCGCGTACATTTACAGTTCATAAACCCATTCAGTTACCACATTTCCTATTGTAACACTGCTTTTTACAAAAAGGTTGGACACGATCAGCTTCCGTTCACAAGACGGCACGCCCGCTGCGCGTACGACGAATCGTCTAACACACGTTACTGGAATCAGTGTGCGCGCGAACAAGGGTACAGCATTGCGTCCTGCCCGCTACAGTAATTTTCGTTCAAGCGTGGAATTTTCGCTTGTGCGTGAATTTCTGTGCGATGATAGACGAGGCAACCAGTTACCTCGTTTTCCACGAACTGTAGAAATTTGTGTGCAGAGGGTTGTGTCCGCGCGCTGGAAGGCCCAATCCTTCGGACTCGACTCACCTTATATTCGTTTTTTGGTACAGTGAGATTTTTTGAGCCGGGAAACGTGTGAAGGTACTAATATTCCCAAAATGTACGCGCTGGACACGCCCTAAAAGCGGGCAGTGGGAGAGAAGTCCTGGGTTGCGGATGGTACGGCACGGCACAGTCATGACATGACTCATCAAGAGTGCCAGCCATGACCAAATGACATGAGGTGACATGACATGGATGATGCTGACTGGGGGTCACTCACCAGACCAGACCAGAGTTATGTGATGTGAGTGTGACCCTCGAAAACTCCCCCATCCGCGCTCCAGGCCTCAACCCTCGGACCACCTTGATCTCTGTCGGGAACTTTCCCGCCACGCACGCGCGTTACACCAATCAGGCGGGTTTGATTGCTTCATCCAAGTGCCACATGGCCTCCTCTTTCCTGGCTGAATATCCGTGTGGCAGACCGAGCCAATGGCAAGAAGCGAAGTCCAACCGGGCCAATGTTGGGGTGTGGGATTACAACGAGCGTAGACATTATAACTGAAACATGTACAAATAAAGAGTGGTGGTGATGCAAGATGTTCAGACTGCGTGATTCTTGGACGATTCTATAGTGTATTGAGCTGTTATATAGTGGGTATGAGTTCTCTAACAGGTGCACTTGCCAAAAGCACAGTTCGTGAAAGAATTGCTCGAGGGCCTTGTTTGGTGATTCACTCTTGCCCACGTGTCCCCGAATTGCTAGCGTGGCCATCCAATTCAGTGATAATTGCTCGAATGGCCACGCCAGGGCATTTTCGAGGTGTTTTTTTTCCCTGGCACATTACTCTACAAAGGTTTGTACCCCCGAAATTCCTCGTTCGCACGAGTCTCATCCTGTGGAAGTGTTTCGTACTATTCCCCACCTGAAAATTTCAGGTAGGTGGAGGGCGCGAACGTGGCCCACACACTGTACACAAAGCCGACAAAAATGCACGACCAACAGTAGATGCGCGGTCATTTTCGGCCCAATGCGCGACCAATGAGCGCGCGGGCAAATACATCAGCGATAATAAACTGCAACGCCGGAGCATAAATGCGCGAACCTATTAGTGACCGCGCATGATTGGTCGATAATATGTTTGTTGCCCTTTTTGGCAATGCGCGTCCAATCACGTGCTGTCATATAGTTCACGACCATATATTTAGGCGATAAAGGGTCGCCCAACAACCAATATGAGCGCGCATATACTACCATTAGTTGTATCATATGTCCGGTCCATATAAAACCATGTACACCAAATGCCATAAATATATTCTCTGCTATTGCTTTAAGCCCAGCATAACCGCGGTCCATAATATTGTATTGCCAGTAATATGGCTGCAGCATATTGTGAGTACATTTCATGTACCATTTAAACGGCAACGGCTTAAACATGTTAAGCTCTATGCATGTGTTATAATTGATATCCGGACCACCGGTTGACGCAATCTGATCCTTGTACGTCCCGAGAGGGTGATGTGGTGCAGCATGGACAAGGTTTTCATGATGACGCTGCAGATATGACACTTTATTTGTTGTATGCTTCACGTAGCGGTCCCGATCAACAGGTGAGCAGCAATGAGATGATGGGGCGGACAGTTTGTCAACACGCCAAAACCCACCCACACCGTCAGTGTGCACGCTGGGTTAAGACGCTCATGTTGACTCATGCATATGGCTTGGACTCTGTTTCGCCTACTCCTCGTAACCCTAAATCCGAAATTGCAAGCTACCGAATAATCTTCTAGTGCTTCGTACAGAAAATTGCTTAGACGAGTATAGTTGACCTTCACACAACGGGGCTCGATCGTCTATCGTAATTTGTGGCGAGCGGTCCTCGTCGACGACCATTTCTCGGAGCAATGCACGGTACATATCACTTTGTCTGTGTCAGATTTATATGACTTAGCTGCTGTAGGCTATAGTGGGGTAGCACATATGGGGTACAGCTTTCTAGGGTTTGTACTTGTACCCAACTTTCCCTTAGTCTTTTCATTCCTCGTTCATTTTCACATGGTATAGAGCAGGTTCCCCTGTGGGAACTGTTCCTAGGGCCCACCAACTTTTTTTTTCCTGCCCGGAGCGCGCTCAGCCTCTGCCCGAGTCGCGCTCCCCTCTCACGGCCCCGTCGCGCCGCCCTTACGACCCCGTCGCGCCGCCTCAGCGGCCCCGTCGCGTCGCGCCTCCCTAGCGGCCCCGTCGCGTCGCCCTTGCGACCCCGTCGCGCCGCCCTCGCGGTCCCGTCGCGTCGCGCCGCCCTCGCGGCCCTTTCGCGCCGCCCTCGCGGCCCTTTCGCGCCGCCCTCGCGGCCTCCTCGAGCCGCCCTCGCGACCCCTCCACGCCGCCCTCGCGGCCCCGTCGCCTACCCTTGCGGCCCCGGCGCCACCCTTCCCGGCCCCGGCGCCGCCCTTCCCGGCCCCGGCGCCGCCCTTCCCGGCCCCGGCGCCGCCTCCGCTGGCCCCGTCGCCCCACCCTTGCGACCCCGCGGCCCCACCCTTAAGGCGCCGGTCGCCACCCTTCGTGGCCCCGCCGCCGCCCTCAGCGGCCTCGTCGCCGCCCCACCCGGCCCCGCCGCCGTCCCCACGCGGCCCCGCCGTCACCACCGAGCCGCCGGCGCCGCTGAGCCGCCGATCTACCGAGCCGCCGCTGCTGCCGAGCCGCCCGAGCCACCCGAGCCGCCCGAGCCGCCGAGCCACCTGAGCCGCCCGAGCCGCCGAGTCGCCGAGCCGCCGAGCTCCAGTTGCTGCCGAGCCGCCGTGCCGCCGAGCCGCCCGAGCCGCTTGAGCCGCCGAGTCGCCGAGCCGCCGAGCTGCAGTTGCTGCCGAGCCGCCGAGCTGCCGAGCCGCCCGAGCCACCCTGTC